TTGGTTCCTGACCCTGAACCGATTGTGATAGGGAGAACTTATCTTAATTTGGCTAGATGCGTACAAGTGCTGTTGTATATTAAATAATACATCACATACCAAATTTTATTTTGGCAATTTTGTTCTCATAACTAATGGTTTAGCTATAATTGGAGGCATACAATTTCTGCTAAACCAACTTGGATTTAAACTAGTATTATCAAGATAAATAATCATAATTTATATTTTGGAACTGTGCTCTAATAATTTGAGCAATCAATCTTGCAAAAGCCAAACTGCAAGTTGATAACAAATGCACATGTGACCAAAGAATAGATGCATCTATTAAAATCATATAATAGTAAACGGTCGACATGGCAGGTGATTGGGCCCATATATTTATCACCTTTTATTAGTTCCAGAAATCAAAGGATTCAATCCCAACTTTAACTGATATATCATGAGAATAAGTAGCACAAGAGAATTCTTGAAGAATCTTATATTTCTTCAATATATGTCAATGTAATTCTCAATTAATTTTTCGCATTATAATTGAACCGAGATGGTCAACCGATCATGCCAACTAATATTTGTTTTAGTAAACCTCTAGTTTACTTGTGACATATGATTCCATCATCATGCTTATATTTGTGTAGTACAAATAGAAAGAAAATCGGGTAATCTTTCATATTTATCCGTTATGATTATAGAAATATGAAAATATTCAATATTCCTTTCATTTATAGTCTCAATATGCCAACCACTTTGACTTATACATTTGAAACTCAAAAAGTTTATTTTGAGACTTTACAATATCAACGTCGTGAATACTTTTATTCATCTGGGTAATAACAAATTAAATTTTCCGGAGCTCTTAACAACTTTTGTCCTACAATATCTTTTATCACACCATTCATATAGTAAATATCTCCTTCATGGAGAAAATTCTATCATAATAAATTGTCATTGTTAAAATCATCATAAGCAAAGTCATTTTTTTGCTTTAATTTTGCCTTTAATAACCTTCTATAAGGCACAACAAAATATTTTTTGGCGTATCACATGTACGCGACCAATGACATATTTATGTAACCACACAATCATATTTATTCTCTTTACTTCACTCAAACCTCCCTCAGAGGTGAGTTGTGTGGCATTCATTCAATCATGCATTTCATGTCTTTATTCATTACTTTTATCACATATTATAACATTCACCCTTAGGAATGGGTCTGCATTCTCAATACTTATCACAAGTCACATTCTCTTCAATGAATGTATCATAATCGGCGGCGTGCTTTATTATTTTGCATACCAATTTGATGGTAAACATTGCCTTCATATTTTGAAGAACTATTATTATTATTATTATTATTATTATTATTATTATTATTATTATTATTATTATTATTATTATTATTATTATTATTATTATTATTATTATTATTATGAAGGCAATGTTTACCTCTAGAGTTAAACTATTCATAATGTCATTTGGATATAATTCTCAACAATAGATTTTAGTTTACTCAAATCAGCTAAGTAATTAGTGTCAAACAGATATACGAAAATATAAAATAATATTGAAAATTCACATGTGGTCTTTGCTGCAATAAGCTTACTTCAAGATGAAAGTGNTGAATATGACTAGAATATTAAAGAAAAATAATGTATCAAATAGAATAATATAGTGCTACTAGTTACCCTGCACTTTTATGGAAACTAAGTATTATGCTCTCTAGAAAAACAAAGAGATATAGCAGAACCTTTAATTGAAAAAATCATTGACAATACTTTTAACATTAATGAAAAAGCCAATACTGGAATGACTCTACCATCTTGTTGCCTCCCACATCAGTTATAAAATAGGAGCAATTATGTGTTTTAAGTCACAAGAAACTAAACCATTTTTTTTATTTAATGGAGTGTACTAAGAATATCATGTACAAATAATGAAAAATTGGGTTACAGAGATACAAACTCACTCAATTTTTCAATATACGAGAATTAAAAGTTTTGATCGGACAATGCTAATTTAAAATATTTTTCTATTTGGATCGTATATTTATTTATCAATAATGTATGCTAGTTGTGCTATTAAGATTACCCGAGAGAAACTTACCTCACATTACCTTTTCAAAAGTCAGAATGGCGTATGATGGTCAAACATATATTTTATAGGAAAACGTTCAGTTAAGGAAAACTTTACATAAGGTTCTTGCTTTTTTTTAACTAAGGAACCAAATTTCCTCAAATAACTTTGCAAAAGTTGTAGTAGCTCCCCAATTTCTTGTACTTCTTTTGGTCTTTGGTTTAGTACGTAACTCTTGCAGCCGGCTACATCATTATATACTTCTTATTCTTATAATAAGATCTATATAAACAGGATACGAAATGAAAGAGATCAGACCAAACTTACAACAAATATTAGAAACTCGTTTATTAAAATGAATATTGATAATACAACAAAATAAAATAAGTAAAACATAGAGTAGTAATTAGTTTACATTTAAGTATTTTTCTTTATAAAGTAAAACACTTAAGAATATGAATGGATTTGTAAGAAGAAAATACTTAGCATTAAAAACTTTCATAACAAATAAAGAACCTATGAGAAAAATGAATAAGAAAATAAATTAATTAAAAAGGATTAGAAAACGTATCTTAGCATTAGTATTATATGCCTTATCATAGTGTACTGGTCTCCTCAACCTTATTGTTACTTCAGTTATGTTTGATACCATTCTTTGAAATTGCTAAATGAGAAAGAAAATAATCTCACTAGTGGGGTCTGGGGATGGTAGTGTGTACGCAGACCTTACCCCTACCCTAGGGTAGAGAGGCTGTTTCTGAAGACCCCCGGCTCCCTCCCTCCAAGAACTCCCCACCTTGCTCTTGGGGTGACTCGAACTCACAACCTCTTGGTTGGAAATGGAGGGTGCTCACCACTAGAGCAAGCCTACTATTGTCTCATTTCTAGAAAATACAAAAAAAAAAAAAAAAACTTTAATCTTTTTTATATTTTTTACACACAGACACAACATTATACATAAAACGAGCTCCACGTCCCAAAAATGCCCATCCCTACCAAGCTCTGTATAATCCCCAACCAAATGTTCCCCAATACAATCCTCGCACAAGAGAGCCCATCAGAAGGAATTAGTTCACCCTTATTGGTGAATCATACTCTAACTTGTTCCAAAAGCTAACCATGCTAGGGCTGCTACAACCAGTGGCCCCGAACCCCGAGTCCCTTTTATACCGAGCTGATGCTAGATGTGAATACCGCTTTGGAGCAGTAGGACATTATACAAAAGGTTGTTGGACTCTTAAAAAAGTAGTGAAAGACCTCATCGATATGAATATGGAACTCCATTCACTAGATTTTAGTGCGCTGAATAATTGTCCTTTCCCCGTTCGGATTTGAGTACGAAAGGCCCACCCCAAAGAGCGAATAGTGTTTTTTTACCACGCGACTTAATCCCGATCACTCCCTCAAGAATAGGAGGCAATAATAGAGCGAATCCGTCAGAGAGTACTCCACCACGAGCTGCCAAAGCACGCTCAGTCAATCGTCAATCTCCAGCCCAAAGCTGACCAGTACAACCATGTGTCACCCCGCAGGGCTTCGTCGTACCCTGCCTACTCGTCCCGGCCTATTTGTACCCAGCTACAATCTCTTCCCTTATAAAATAAAAAAGGGCCCCTCGGCCAATCGTCACTCGACATCTCGAAAGCGGATCAATACAAAACCATGTGATCTGTACTTGTTTACGTACTGCCCCTTAAGCCTAGGGTTTCGTCGTACCCTGCTTACTCTTCTTTCACTTTCACTAGCATATACTTATCTTTTTTTTATTAGCTTATTTATAAAATGGTATCAGCATTTGAGATGACTCTCTCCGGCCAATCCTCAGTCGTCCGTCCTTGCTTAGAACCACTATCTCTTGATTGATCTATTTTTTTGTACCTTTACAGCTCGCTCTGTAAGTTCACTCTCATCGAGGTCCACACAATAATGCTTAGGGATGAAGAGAACACTAATATGATGAACAATCCTCTGCCTACTCACACCAATGGGCCAGTAGTCGGAATGATTTGTGAAGATAGAGAATTTGATCCGGCAGTAAAGGCTTCAAGATGAATATTAGGCACGACAGGAACATGCCTTTTATGATGTAGGACAATTTTGTAGATGTAAGTAATTCAATTGATTAAGGTATCATGCTGATAACGTGTTATAAAATAAAAGCAACTTAGTAAAACATGAACAAGACATGTTGTTATGAAATAAAAGCAATTTAGTAAAACATGAACAAGAAACGGAGATAGAGAGAAGAAAGAAATTTTCTTCTTCAATTGTGTGTATTTTCTTATCTATTACAAGGCCTTTATATAGATATGAAAAGTAAAGAAAAATATGTCATTAAGTATTTGAGAAGATCATGGAGTAAAAATAGACATCCACCATAATTTAATTTTTCATATAACATAAATAACTTAGTCAAATTTTATTTTTTTCTTAAACTGAAAGTCAAGATAAGTCATACAAAAGGGGTTGGCCGTTGGAGATAGTAATTGACAATCAAGATTGTCGGTTGACAGCACAAAAGACACAATCAAGAAGATAATTATAATTGGCCTCTTCCATTTGCTAAACTACAAAGGAACGCCTAATTATTGGTAGTGCCTTGAATAACAAGTAGAATCATTGTCGTCCTCGAGGGTGTGACTCAATGTATAAATTTTGAAGAATAATTTTTTTCTCAATTATCTAAACCTTGGTAGTTAGTAGGGAGAGCTATCAGGTGAAATAGTTGAAGTGCGCGTGCGCTACTTCCACCACCACCACCACCACGAAGAATAACAACAAACTTAGTCTAATCTCACAAAATGGGGTCTGAGGAGGATAGAGCGAACGCAGTTTTACCCCTACCTTGAAAAGATAGAGATGTTGTTTCAATAAAAAAGACATTGGTTTGTTGTTGTTATTACACCGAATTTCTCTTTTTTCTGCCGGTTCGAACACCGTCGTCATTTAAAAAAAAACTATGTAGCATCATTGTGGATCTTGTTACATTATATTTCGAAATCAATTGATCCCTAAATTAAATTGTAACTAGATATACCATAAAAGAAAAAAGAGAAATCGTTTGGATTGGAGGCCAAAGTGAACCCCAAATCCCTTAAAGAATTAGACATCTCTTCTCTTGAACCACTATTACTAGTTTATTGGTAGTGCAATGGAGAAAGTGGTTGTGTCTGGTTTTGAATTTTCATGAGCTTCTGCTGCTGCTTCCAATGTGCTGCTGCTTTTAATTGTAGAAGTAGACAATTGGAGATTGGAAGAAGTAAGTTCCACGTGCTTTCTTGGACGCTGGCGTCCTCTATGCATGTGTTTCTCACAATACTTCTGGTTTTGAACCACATTTCTGCTACACCTCCATTTCTTGCCATCACTTCTCCTACACCTTCTTGGTTCTGCTTCCATGTTACTTTTAAGTTCCCAACCAAAGTGACCATACCCCATCACTGCAAAAACACAACAAATTCTATTACATTTGGTCCATATTATTTGTCTAAATTACCGTATATATCTCTCTTAAACGCTCACTTAATTAACACTCTACTAATTTAAATAATAATAAGTCAAATCGACTAACATTTAGGCAGGTGGGAGTAAAACATAGCCCACCGCAAATCATTAGACGTGACTTTTGGTTAAGTTGTATGCACATGAGCAACGAGGCTTAATTTTTGCTTTTAAAGGATAATTATATGCGGAATAGCAAGATAGACACTCATAGTTCCACGAGATTGTCAATGAAAGACAAAATTGATTGACTCTCAAAGAGTAAATCTTGACATTCAACTCGAAGAAGGAACTAACCTTATAACAACATTAACACATCACTCTGCATGTTTACTAAACCAAAGTAGAAATATTTTTTGGGTATAACTTTGAATCCAATTCCATCCACACACAAAAAAAAAAAAAACAAAGGAAAAAATTCTATACTAAGAGCAATTGGGGTGATGTGGATAGATACCATACCGAAGACCTTTTACAGAGCAAGTAATAGACTTGAATATAGGAATAATGAGATGAGAGGGAACAGGTATCCCAGCTTCAATGTACTTGTAGATGAAAAATTGTTGCTCTAGTTCTTGTCTTTGTAGGAATGTAAATCCATATCCACTAGTATTAAACTTTGAATAGCTACTATTTTCATGATTGTCACCATGTTGGCTAAGCTCAAGATTCAACCCAAGTTCAGTGGAACATTTCCCTTCTTCTCCATTTGACACTGCACATAATTAATAACAAAAAGAAGAATGAGATAATAGAGATAGTAAAATTTAAAAGAAATCTTTTGAAAGAAAAGATACCATCATAGTAGTCTTTTTTGCTAGCAATATTATTGGGAGGTGGGATTTTGAGGTCCATGGCAGACCAATATTTTGATATTTTATCTTCTCTAACTTTTTGTTGATTTTAATATTCTCTTCTCATATTGTGGCTTTTGTGCTGATTCAGATAAAACAATGACAGAAGAGGAACACATTGGCAGAGCGTACTGCAAAGTCTTCTGACATAGTCAGAAATTTTGGCAGCTCCCATTTTTAGATTGTGGGCCGCTTAACCTTTCTACTGTGTGTATATCAGCAATAAACTTAAATCCTCTTATTAGCCCTGTATTAGTAAAAAATAGACTCGCCACGTGGGTCTATTAAATGGCGACACATGTCAGCAAAGTTATGAGAAAAGTAAAGAATGACATGCAAAGGTGACATGTGAAACACCCTCGGGACCGAGCATACTCGTACCGTGCCTGTTAGTCTCGAAACTGACCATCATAGAATAGCTCCGGATCAGTTATGGGAGAATAGCTCATAATTATAAATGAGGAAAGAATCAATTACATGGGATTTACCATCATTACGCCATCAGTTACAAATCAATTATGTAATGTACAATAAATGCAATAAATAATTATAACGGTCAGAACAAGACAATCAATTACGAGATTGATTCAACAGGCACAAGAATGACTCAACAGGTACGAGATTGACTCAACATGTACGGAATTGACTCATCAGTTACGGAATTAACTCAACAGTTATGGAATTAACTCATCAGTTACGGATATAACACATCAGTTATGAAATTTCACTATTTACACAGCTGTTACAAGTTTTCCAAAATAACGGATGGATTGAGTAAATGCTCATAATGGAACCATAATTCAAGGAGAATAATTACTTAGATTTAGCCCTATAAATAGATACACTTTTATCACCATCGGGGGAATCTAATTTTCTTCTCTACAATTCTATAAATTGTAATCCATAGCATCTTGCTCCCAAGTTAGCCATAATTCGGTCATTCAAGCTCTGTTCGGCTCATCATCCTATCAAGGATCATTCAATAAGAATCATTTCTTCTCCACTTTATTTTTATTATATTATCTATCATTGAATTTATTTTTCACTTCTCTATCACGTTGTATTAACGAAAATTTATATCTTTCGGATCAAATCTGTTGCTTGTGGCCCGTCATATAAAATTTATTACTTTGACCTTGAAAATTATTTTTTGGGTTAAACAGTTTGGTTCCGTTACCGAAAACTCAAGCAAATATGTTATTCATCCAAAGATACTAACAATTTTTGTTAATATTCGCTTGTTTTCAGTTTAAACCTTCATCATGGCCGAAATTTGCCAATCAACACAGTTGATGACAACCAACTTGGAGATGGCTTTACCATAATAAAAAGGGAATAATAGCCATGATAATAATAAGTAAGGAACAAGCAGATAAAAATGGAGAATGTACATCGATATATTGGTACTGCAACTATTAGTACCAGAATCGATTAAAATGAATCTGCGCCAAACAGTACCGAAACATGAGGTTCAGATCTATTAGGTAATTTTAATTTGCAAAATTTAGTTCTAAATTTACAGAAATAAATCAAGGAACAGAACGAGCGGATAGAACACCTCCGGGAATATCCAACCATCCCATGAGAATGATATGTATAACTACTACAGCATCGGGCTTCAAATAGAGGAAGGCATAGAGGTTCAATCAAAATCCAAAATAGGTTCGAAGACTAAACGGAGTGGTTCTTGGGTGATCCGAATCTACATGCAGAAATCCAAAAATAAAGGTCCAAGCAAAGAGATACGGGATTTTCTTCACGGGCTGAAAAAGATCCGGACCTTCTCGAACAGGTAAGGAATCACCTTGCTAAATTGTAAAATTCCACAGGAGAAAGATGAAGGTTAGAAAAAGCATGGGTAAAACACCCACGGGATTGCTTACAAAGATACCGTACCTGACAACTGAAAAAGAAAAGATAAGTGCGGGATGAATAATTAAAGACTACGAGGAAGAAGGTTCATTAATAACCATGGACAATTAGACAAATATTTTCGAAAACAATCATTGAACCGAAAGAATCAGAAGCCACAAGGTCAAATGCTGAAGAACTAAAAACTATCATTGACTTCTCAAATATGAAGGTTTACGTTGGCCGAGACTCGACACGAATTTAAAGGTAAGTTGATTAAACTTTTACGTGCTAACGCAAATTGCTTTGCTTTCCCCCATGTTAACATACCACCGGAGATAATGATTTATATTCTCAATATTGACTCCGCGGTATAATCCGGTCAAGCAAAAGAAGAAACTGGAGTCAAATAATAAAAGATAAAGTTACAAAACTTCGAAAGGTCGGTTTAGTCCGAAAAGTCAAATCATTCGGACTCGCTAGCTAACATCAACCCATCCTTACTTTCAAAATTCCGAGGAGAAAGATGATTGTTGGTATACCAAATTGTCTCAGATGTCTCGGTAAATGCAATCTTAATTCAAGAAGATATCTACATTCTCCTTTCTATTAAAAATGCTATTAGACATGGAAACTACATATCTACATTTTGAGAAGTTGTCATTAATTGCAGTTGCCCTAAATCTAAGGCTTTATTTTCAATGTCATTCAATTCTCGTAGTCACTATATTTTTATTACGCAATATTTTGCATAGACGTGAACTGTTAGGAAGGCTAGCTAAATGAGTAGTCGAACTTAGGGAATATGATATTATTTATCAGCCACGTACGGCTATAAAATTACAAGTTTAGCAGATTTCATGATTAATCTTAGCTTGAACATATTACCTGAAGCTGAAAGAAAAGTACATATTATTTATGGGATAATTCTCGGGATCTGGACCTTCTACACAATTAGGTCCAAGTATTAAAAGTATTGGGTTAGGGACAATGCTTAATGCCTATCATGAAAAGTAGTTAGATAATTCACAAAAGTTATTTTATTACTAACAATAAAGATATGTATGAAGCATACACTACAGGGCTTGAATTAGCTATGGGACTCAGAGCAAAAATATTGATTTAACGATTGATCAAATCCAATAAAACTATGCATCCCAAGAAAATTGAGCCGGATGTGCTAGTCTCGGATCTACTGCTGATATCACTGACTCCAGAAGCAACTCCGGGCTCTTATTGAGATAATCATTTTCGGATCAAACAGTCTCGGGATCGATTCATCCCTTATGGGCGATCCATGATTTATCATCAATTATAATGAAAATGAGGTAAGCTCGACTAATTTAATTTTGACATAATAAATTTATTAATTACTTGCAGAATGGGACTTTACCCACAGACAAGCACACTCTCGACAACTCTGAGTGCGTCTCATCCCGTACTTCCTTGTTGAAGTAGAATTATATTTGAGAATATTCAAGGGTCCCAAAGCTAAAATGCCACATGGACCAGACAAACAAAATATATGATGCGAAAAATTTATAAAAAATACAGTGAAAATTACTCTAGTAATAAGGCTTTAAATCGAAAACTCATCAAAGTTAGTATGAATAGCTCAAATCAAGATATGTCATGATCCTCAACAATATTTTGGAACCTCTGTAGTTCCCGGCAAGAGTAAAAAATATTTGATAAAAAGAGCTCTGGTACTGTCCCTATGTTGGAACTGGACCATTTGAAAGCCCATCAACATCGAAACTAGCTATCCTTTCGGGTACTATTAAACTGAGGACTGTCCAATTATGATTTCAGTATTTGAGTTCTCATACCTCAAAACTCGAACACTAGGGATATTACTTATACTCGAAGATTAGTCAATTTTACCTGACATTATAAGAAGTGATACAAACAATCGATTGCCTTGGGAGATAGAATTTCTAAGAGTATTCCGATATTATTTACCACCATCTCAACTCAGTTAGTTGTCTTGCTCATATCAAGTATAAACATTTCAAATAGTGTTGAGTTAGTTCTTCAAAAATACATATACTACACGTATACAAAAGGATCGAGAACTCCATGTCAGAGTCAAGAATCCCACGATAAAAAACGAATTTTGTATCCAAGTCAAGATAACAAAATAAAGTTCACTTTGAACAAACACATGACTTATATTCGGTCCAACAACGACCATTCAAGTTAAATATATAAGCCTTTCTTAACGGCTAATTATATTATGACTCGGATCGATTATCCCGTATATATTAATAAAAATCTCAAATATTATTTCGGACATGTGTCCCCCCCTCTACTTGGAAGTATGTTCATATACTCCAATTCGGATTCAGCATCCGATCAGATTAAATGTCTCTTCGGGATAAATCTACTAAGATATACATTTATTTGGGATTAATATTCCCTCAGACTCAATGTCTTACCGGGATCAATACTCCCGTAAATTCTATTAGGATTAATACTCCTGTAAATCCTACCGGGATTAATACTTCCCTAGACTAAAAGTCTACTCGGATCAGTCGATCCTATTTTACGCCCGAGTGAAAAGGAGACGTCCTCTTCATAACGTTTAAAATATATAAAAGGGCCTTCTTTTATTTAAAAGTCAGACACCCAAAGGTGAAACTTTAAGACATCGCACATAAAACGATGCATACAAATATATATATATATATATATATATATATATATATATAAGCACTTAAATAAATTCTTAAAGTTTCAAGAAAATTAGTACTCTTGATAAATTCCCTAAGGCACCAAATGATATCTAGACAAGTGTGATTACAGTTCTTAAATTTGCAGTATTATATCTTTCTCAAATTAGAGAATTCTCTCTATCATCCGCCATGATCATGAAAATATCATCTAACTTGAAGAAAACTGAGTAGGTTGAGGATTGGTTCGAGAAAGCTCTTTACTCCCCTTGTCAAATATTTTCTCTGGAATACGTGCAAGGACACTCTCGATATTAGTACCTGATAAGTAAGGATTTTGACTACTTATTTGCTCTCTTTTACTTATGTTTTAGCTCAAAAATACTTAAAGATATTCTCGAGAACTAATGAAATGTGCTTTCTTGCAGGAATATTGGGAAATGAGCCAAAGAAATGAAATTCAACTAAGAAGGAGTAAAAATTGGACAAGAACCAAAA